TTGGGAAATCCTTGAAATTTAAAGCATTCCCAGCAAATACACAGAGCCGATCTCCATGTGCCTCTTGAAATACCAGAGGAGGGATTATAAAGGTTTTTCACTGCAAAGCCCCGATAATATGGCTAATATGAGAGAGCCAGTGTGATATTATGTTCATTAGGTTTCATAAGAGAGTCAGTAGTTATTAAAACAGGCAGTTGGTATTGTTATAGATGATTATATAGTGGTACTGTCAGTGGATTTATTAGGGATTGTAATAAGCTACCTAATAATCCAGCTGTATTATAGCCTCAGTAGCATCATTTTAATTGGATGATGATATTAGCACTGCAAGAGGAGCGTTTATAATCTGATCTACACTAATCTGCTCTATTAAAGCCTTGAAGGTCTGTGACCATCACACACTAACCTGTATGCGTTACAGCTACACTATGAGCTCCCCATTAATAATGATAAAATCCAGCAGGGCAGTTATCTGCTGAAGCAAAAAATGTCAGCCTTGGTCTCCAGTCTGTTCATCTGTTTTTAGCTCTTGGCTAACAAAACTCTATTCTGATGTTTCTATAAAAGACATGAGAAATCTAACATTTCTGACTTTATCGGTTTGATAAAGTGTCTGCATTCTGTCATTCAGACGTTTATGTTTCTGTCTAAATGAAGCCAAACAAAACCAACAGAAAACCCAAAAAGATCAGTAGTTGAGAGAAGCATCTGTATTTGTCATAGACATGAGATTGGACACTACATAAAGTGACACAATGTGTCAACATGTATTTTCTACATAATATATCTTTTCTGTATGTATATCTTGTCGAAATGACAGCTGGCACGAGACAATCCATAAGTTGTAGCGCAAAAATATTTAAATTGAAAATCATAGTTCTTCTTATTAAATGGAAGCAGAGCAATGTGTCAAAAAACAAAGTAAAATTGATATTTTCATTTATTCATTTTGAAAAATATGCTCAGTATAGTATGAATTTATCACAAAAATGCCGGTCAGTTCACTACCATAGCTGGCATTGATATGACATTTTTTCATTTAGCAACAGCAGGAACGTAATTCATAGCATCAAGACTCAAGTATTTAATAGACTTAGAGGAAAGATTCCTACAGCAACAAACTGAACTTCAGCTCCTGTTTGTCAAAACTGGAATTACATGTGTTATCGGTGAGGCTGTCTAATGTGTTGCAGCATATTTTCATCACAGTAAAGTTTTATGTTTTTGGACCTTTGAGTTTGTAATTGATGTGAAATTGCAAAGCAACCAGAATGAGAAAGGTGTTTTGTGATTTTTGGCATACAAACTATATATTTTGCTGTTGGGAAACTTTTGAACCAAACATCTTCCCTAAATCTCTTCACAGAGGTTAATGTCCTATTGCTTGTCTGTGCTTAGTCATTCAAGCGACGGCCTGCAGTTCAGACTTGTTTAAAGTGATCCGGCAATGTTACTCGGTCTGACTTGCTCATGCGTCTGCTATGGAAAACCAGGGTGCTCATTTAAAAGGGCATTGAAATGTTCAGGTGGCATTAGATTAATGGAAATGCCTGAAAGAGGCTCATGTTTCACAGCAAAGACGTGTAATAACCTAATCTAACCCATCAACACACAATGTAATCTAGGTGGCATTTTCACTTCTTTTATGTTTTAGAGACTTGCTCTTAGTCCCTCAACAAGTGAGCAAAAAATCAAAAGATCAAGATCAATCCAACAGCAATAAGCTTTCTTACCTGCCGTTTGACCTAGAAACCAAGTCAGACAGCAAAACACGCACGCATCTAAATTGGAAATTAAGATGAGCCGCAATAACAGATGATTGATTCATAGAACAAATCAATAACAGTATCAAAAAAGACCAAGAAAAGTGTCTTATTTTGACCAAACTAGGAGTCTTTCAAGCTAAAACAATCACTAAAATAAGACTCCAGAGAGGCAACACAGAGCATCACCTCTGCATTAGGACTGCGTAGGACTCACAGCGCACTCACAGGTTTAATACAGCAGAGTGCTGAGTCAAGTCATCAGATGCATCATGTCCTCCTTTAAACTCAGGCATGTATTTCACTTTCAGTCTTCAGGAGGCAACTGTAGGTCAAACTGTGCAAAGCGCTGAATCAACTTTCTCTTAATCAGTCTCCATCTTTCTGTCACTGTTTCTTTTTCCGTTTTAGTCTCAGTGGGTGAATGCTGAATGTCGGGATGTGACGTATCTAAACGTCGTCGTTTTTGTTGTTGCCAGATTTTGTGGATAAAATACGTAATCTAATTTGAAAAAAAGAAATCCTTGAGCACCTAATGACATGGTGTAGAATGATGATGCTGCAGGTCCCAGTTTTAGACATATATTTTGTTGAAGATCACATCTCTGGTACTGGAAATGAGCCACTAAAATAGCTGTTCCCTGTAGTGATGATGACTCAACAAAACCTGCTGGGATGACCACGCAGTGACAGGACAGGAAGCATCAGGGTGTGTCTTCTGCACAAAAATAAGATGCGCCTACAGTGAAAAGGGGCTTTATCAGCAACTTCAAAAGGGTAAATGGGGGAAGGAGTGTCAGAAACATTTTTCTTTCTTTCTGGCAGATTGCAAATGATTGCATATATTAAGCACTGCAGCGTTTTTATTGTAGCCTTATGTATTAGTCATACAGTAAATGTGAATTGAAGAATATTGAACAGGACCATTTCTAGGAGATAGATCATGTTTTGTCACACAGGATCCTTTTGTTCGCAGCTCATCTCATTATTGTGAATTTGGCGAAAGAAAGAAAGAAAGAATTCATCATTTACATTGTGAGGTGTGAGACTAGAGAACTTCTAACTTATTGGATATAAGACAAAATAAAGTAAAACTTTATTAATTCTGAACAAAATTCTTGTGCCAGACACTGAGAAATGCAGTTCCTAAAAAGTAGAAAAGCAATAAGATGTAAGTGTGATACATTACTGCAATCCAATGGGCAAACTAAAATAAAGCTGGAATAGAACAGTAAAAAGTAATGCTGGCAATTTAACTGAGGTAATATCACACATAATAATGGACTATTGCAAATGGAAAATTACATGAAAATGAAATATTGCATTGACAATATCAGGCAGACTTAATTGATCTTTCTTTAATACCGTTTACTTATATTGATTAATTCCACTATAAAATCATGTTTCATCCTGCAAAGGGGTAAAACAGACTTTCAGAGCTTTCAACTCATTGAGGTATATGAATATATCGACAGATTGGTGTCATATCTGGACTCAGTGTTGGTACATACCTAACCTGAGGTATAGGAATTGGTAAACAGAGAGAGAAAAAATCAAATTGGTGTTGGAAAGGCTTCTGAAGCATGAGCCAGAACCCCTCCCAGTCCACACCAGTATGCCCAGAAAGATTTACTAATCCTCCCACAGCAGACGTTACAGTGTCAGGCCAGATTTTTGGAGACACCAGATTGGAGGCTGGTCTGGGTGATAGACATGGACTACAGAGAGGTGCAAATGTGGCTTTATTAGCCACGTTCACTCTACACTATGACTCGACCAGTCATTGATCCAACCAAATATTGGCGGTGATATTTGGTATTTTTAGATTGTTTATATTGTTATTTTTATGGACCAGTTATTGCAAAATTTCTTAAATGTTCTCCTTAGGTTCTGATTTAGCCTCCACTCTCTGCACTCACTGTGCTCTCAAGCAATGTCCCGCCTACAGCTCTAGCTGATTGGCTGTTACAAGTCATGAGTAACTGCCAATCAAGACTATTGTTTACACAGAGGGACAGATGAACACATTAGCAGAGCAGAGCAGCTCGGGTAAATTAGCAAAGCTGTGTTTGAAAGGTAAGATAGCTGCTGAAGGTTTAAGAAGCACAACACATTTGCTGCTTTCACAGTGTCTGAGGCTACGCAGCTACGCTAGAGGAAACAAAAAACAAACAAAAAAATCCTTTTACCTCCCACACAGCCTGCTATTGGCATCAACGCCCTATCACACTTGAATTTGTTCTATGGCACTTATCTAGATTGTTTTCTCCTGACTAGATCCTTGCTTGTGTTGTATTTGCTCGCAGATGTTCGTCGCTTTGGATAAAAGCATCTGCTAAATGAAATTGTAGAAATTGTTGAAATTGTTGAAATTGTAGGTAGTTAAAGATTACCCTGACACAGAGTCTGAAAAGCAATAATTAATAATGTTCTAAGATCTGGACCCTCGTGGTAAACAAAAGTAATAGAATAGAAACCGAGAAGAACAGCAGACAGAACTGCAGGAGACAAACTGTTATTGATCTGATTGGATTGATTTGCACTGCAGGTAAGAAAGAACAACCAGATAGTTCACTCACACAGTCTGAGTGGCTTCCTGTTAAACCTAATCCTTGGCAAAACTGTCTATTTAGTTTATTTGATAGCTGTTTAACTGCAGTAGTTGGAGACTGAGTTATCTAACTTTTTGATCTATGGTGAGTCCATTAGGTCTCACTAAATGCACGAAGGGTTGGTGGTTTATACTGACTCACTAATTACTAATTAGTCCCACTTCATCACACACAAGCCCAATCACTGGTATGCAGTATTTGCATATATGTGCATGTTTCCTGCATATAAACATCCTCATTATAGTTACCTGATGTCTCAGAGTTGTTGTTTTGTTCGGGGTCTGTTATCTCTTCCCTACCTGAGTTTGTTTGGCATTAATTCTCTTTCAAGTCTTCATGATTATTAATGTAACATGTGGTACTGACCGAGAGGCACATTTTCTCAGTTTTGTCTTTCAAAGGACTGAGGTAGCAAGTTTTTGCTTCTTTCTTTTTTTTGAAATATACCCTCATCACATAGTTTGTTTTATTTACTTGTCAATTTTTCTTTTTCATCTAAGCTGTGTAATGTTGTTTCACAAAGTGATACCTGGAGATATTTGAACTTCCTTCCACTGAGGAATCAGGACGAGTTCATTTCAGATTTCTCGGTACCATCACTCTGTTTGTCCTTTTTTCGCAGAATATGACGGCCGCCAGTTAGCCCCAGCGTTAGCATCTGAGTCAGGCATGGCATCGTCTTCCTACTTGGAATCCAACCTCAATCACTCGGCGGCGGGTGGTTGTGGGGTTAAATCCCGGTCCGGAATGCCCGGAGGTCCCGGCACCAGCAGCTCGGCTGGAGGTCTGGAGCGACCCCCCGGTTCCATGGACCGGGTTCTCAAGATCTTCCACTACTTTGAGACAAACAGTGAACCGTGCACCTGGGCCAGCAACATCAGGCATGGGGACGCTACAGATGTCAGGGTGAGACTCAAACATCTCTCACCTGTCCAGCTCACCTGTCCCCTCTATCATGTCACAGATTCTCACGTTGTTCATCTTTCGCAACAGGGCGTCATCCAGAAGATAGCAGAGATCCACAAACTGCGCTGTGTGTCCTCTCTGGGCCTCCGTCTGACCCATTTGCACTCTGATGCTCTCCACTGGTTGCATCCTGATCTGGGTGTGTCTCATGTACGGGAGAAATATGAGAAACAGCACCCCCAGGAGGAATGGAGGTAAAACTACAAACTTCTGTGTTTTTGCAAAAGGCTCATTTCCTAACTAATTTCTCAGGAGACGAGTCACGGCAACAGGAAATTTAACAAAATGAGACATCTTTCCCTTATTCCACTCACTACTTGTGCATCCTCGATTACTCTCCTCGCTTCTGCCACCAGAGATGCAAGCAGAGGAGTCGAAGGTTTTTAACAAAATGAGACATCTTCGCCTCAGAGCGACGGATTAAAGCGAAGTCAGTTAAATACGACACAGCTTCATCACCTGTCCGTCGTTTTATTATAACGTACAGTTGTGTTTTATGATCTCTGTCAGATGAATAGACAGTGTTCATAATAATATATAGTTTATATTTTTACTTCTAATTCAAGTCACAACACAGTAGAACGTGACAAGAATGTACAGATGTCACACATTTTTATTTGTTCACCCACACGTGCAGCGTCAAGTATGAGATAGTTGTGGCACACAAAAATAGCAATATACAAATAAAGTGTGACTCATATTAATATTACATATCATGCACACATTTTCCAGTCCTGCTGCCCACATGGTTTGTATGTTCCAGTTGTGTGTCGCCTCTTTTCAGTCATGGGTTCAGAAAAGACTTTGTGGAGGATAAACTTGTGCATCCTCACTCAGAGCTCCTCCAGCAGCCTCCTCTGTCCTCTGTCCTCCGTCCTCGATATGCATTTTAGGAACTGAAGCATCCTTTGTTGTGATGCACTAAGCTCGATTTCCAGGTCACGGGCTGGAGCACCAAGGATTGAGGAGTAAAGGAGGCTAAAATAAGTGAAAGGAGATGGGCCTCTTGCCTCAGAGCCATCACTGTAAATTGATGCTAATTAAATATGATGTGTTGCACAGCTGTGTATTGTCGCTCATAGTTCCTCTGGCCAACTTCGTCTCTCTTTAAGATGCATTTTAAGAATTAAAGCATCCTTCAAGATGGCGCACTGATATGAAGTTCCAGGTCACAGGCAGGAGGATGAAGGACAGAGGAGGCTTAAAACAGAGAAATAAGATGAGTGTCCTGTAAAAGATGGAGGTAGCCTGCAGTTGGTGGTAGGTGGAGCCAATGCAGAGGTGCTTTAAACCTTTCTTCTGGTCAGCAGGCGGGCGACTCCTCTAGATGCAAATAAAAAGTCAGAATGTACAGAATGTGTCTCTGAGAAAATGGCTACTCTTTTGATTTGTTACCTCAGTAAGCGTTTTCCTCATGAGTTTGCTGTCTGATCTGAATTTTCAAGACTTTTAAATACAGCATGACTTTCATTTTGGTCCTATTTGGACTAGATACTAGCTTTAGGGCGCAGCTACCCAGGGACAGCTAAATGTCAAACTTGAGGCTTTGTTTTCTCTTTACTTTTTCCTTCCGAAGTATCCGAGACTAATACTGAGGTGTACATCAACTCAAATCCCTTAAAGATCATAAGTACTCAGTGCTAATGTTGACAGCAGAGTAAGTGAAGTAGCTTTTCTGTATTTTATAATTATGATAAACAGCCCTGCTAGCTAGCAGTATTTTAATAAGACGACATCACAAGCTACAGCTGTATGACTTACGGACTCAATGAAACCATTTGTTAGTTTCAATAAACCACACAGCGAGATCTACTTATGTGAAGGACTGTATGCAAGCATTAAAAAATATTACCACCAACAATTATTTAATAGAGAGTTTCCCAGTTTTACAACACAGCACAGTGCCCATCTTTATTTCCTTCAGATTTAATGCTCCTTATATAATATGTTTTCTCATTCATCCACATCATCCACTTTTTGAATTCAGTAGTTGTTAAAGGAGGCTGAAGCTTCAGGGCATTCACTGAAATTCAGCTGGTGAACATCCAGCATCCAGAGAGTAGTTCTTTCTGGTGATATTCATTGCTTATTATTATTTTATCACTTATAAAGTCGGATTCTTCCTGTTTATTTGATGCAGTTGCCTAATGTAGCGCTCTATGGAGAAGAACATTCATAGGTTCTCTGTACTGCACGCTATCTGAAGGCAGCTCTGTACATTTCCAGCATTAAAACAGTGCTGGCACCGAGCCATCTTCAGTTGATATTGTTAACAACTTGCTTTACAATTCACTCCTTTGTCCTGCATTTGACGCGCTACACCCAAAGTCATTAAAATTGAAATGAATTCAACAAGAACGAGTTGTTCACACGGCTGACATGCAGCAGTGGAGCTCTGCCAGTTGTTGCAGCTCTGCCTCGGAGGGCGGCAGAGCTTCAGGCCCACCGGAGCTTCAGCTATTGTTAGAACAGCAGCAGCAGCAGCAGCAGCTCAGGGGACCAACTGACTCCATGTCACTGCTGTTCGCTCCCTATCGTGTTTTCTCTCATGCTTTCTCCTGCGTTCGGCCTCACTGTTTTTCACTTTGATCCTTTTCTCCTCTCATCTTTTCCACATCCTCTCAAATAGACATCACTTTTTTTCCTCCCAATATTCTCTTTTTGCTTCATTCATTATAGAACAGGGATGTTTTATTCATTTTGTCTTCAGCCTTGATTTCCTTTGTTATCTAACTACATTCAGCTCGGAGCTCACTACTCTCCTGACCCACTTCTCTCCCCTGTAGTCGCTGCAATACGTCAGTCATGAAATAATATGTCACTATAAACAGTGATAGCCCGTGTGGGTATTTCTGTGACAGAGCTGTTGGTAAATGTGGCTGCGGAAGTCTCGTGATGATTTATGGTTTGACAATTTTATCACTTTCAGTTAGTTCACAAGAAGCAAAATGTGAAATTACATCTCGCTCTGGCTCCAGACTTACTGTAAAATAGTGAGGAGAAAGAGCTTTATCTGTCAGCTTCAGTTTCAGGCTGATGTGTTGGCAAACCTCCTGCTGAAGTGACAAAGGAAGATACAAAATCTATCAGATCCATCAGTGCTGTTCTGTCTCATAATTGGATACTTTACCCTCTCTGTGAGGGGCTCCCAGAAGTTCGTTGTGATGAAATACAACATGCTGCTACACATTGTATGTTAATAAATTGTGATTGTGTTGTTTCTTTTTCTAATTTCTCAGGTGCCGTATATATCACTTTTATAAACAACATTGTCACTGTAATGTGCAATGTTTCCTTCATCATGTGTGATATTACCTCCGTATAATTACCAGTGTTGCTTTTCACTGTTCTATTCTAGCCTTGTTTTAGTTTACTTACTTTATTTTAGTAATGTATCGTACTTATATCTTATTGCTTTTACACTTCGTGGGCACTGCGTTTCTTATAGCATTTTGTTTTTTCTGAGCAATATCTGGCACAAGAATTTCCTTTGGGATTAATGAAGTTTTTACATTATCTTAACAATAAACATGACGGCTTTCAATTGACAAACATTTTAATTAACATGTAGTGTTGTGTGTTCTTCCAGCATTGTGGAATGACAACAATTTTTTATCAGCGGGTATCATCCATCCATCCTTCCATCATCTATACACAGCTTAATCTTAACCCTCACTAGGGTCGCTGGGGGGCTGGAGTCTAAGCGTGTATCTTGATGCTAGTTTTCCAAAACATTGACCAACTGGGGCAGAAACATATGAAATATGGGTGACACTCCTGTCAGAGGTTTTCTTTCCACGAGAGAGGTGTATATCTGAACTGTAGGAATATATTTTAGAATTAATACCTAATTGTTTTTGTTGTTTTTTTGTATTTAGCTGAACCATTTCTGAATATTAGGAATGTCATTTCTTTCATTTCTTCTATACCTCGAACTGGGCCAAAGTGGGGCTTTACAGTGTATTTAGGTCAGCTGTATGTAAGCAGGCGCCACTTGTTTCTATGTCACACACACACTTCTTGAATTTGGATGCTGCGTATGTGTGTCACTGTGTGTTTATTCAGTCTGTCTGTGTCACTTTCAGGTATGAGTTGCGGATGCGGTACCTTCCTAAAGGTTATCTCAGCCATTTCTCTGAAGACAAACCTTCTCTGAACTACCTCTATCACCAGGTGAGGCCACACACAGCACAGAAAACACTGGACAAACAAAAACAAGTAGATTTGTTTTATATGGTATTGTTGTATGATCCATGATTGCTGCTTTTGTTTTACACAGCCATTAACTTTACCTGCTGCTCTGCAACACCTACAGAAATATTATCATTAAGAGTTGTGCTGTTTCTCCAGGTAAAGAGTGACTACATGCAACATATAGCTGACCAGGTGGATCAAGATGTTGCACTGAAACTGGGCTGTTTGGAAATAAGGTGAGAAAGCACAGGTACACATTCAAATCAAACAACCAAAAATCTTTCAAGTGCGACTGAACATTTTCATTGGTTGCACCTGATCTTCAGCAGGCCTGTCTGTGGGTGGCTGGACCACATAGATAAAAGACATTTCAAACTAATTCCTGGTCACACACCTGTCTGAGCTGCTGTGTGGTAGTAACTGAGTAGAAACTAGACACTTCTCCGTGCACAGCCACCTTGTAACTTCTACCGAGGCACGTGAGGCGTTTAGTGAACATCGGTAAATTGTTGGACCTGAGATAAGATAAACTTTATTGATCCAGCACTGGGGAAATGTACATGTTACAGCAGCTGGATACAGATGAGGCACTAAAGAAGCAGGACACGAAAAGCACAATAAGGCTAAAAATGAACATGTAATAAAGACAGTGTACAAGACATGATGAGTTTACATATGCATATGTACAGATATGACATGATAGATAATGTACTCAACATAAGACAGTCTGCATGTGAGGCATTTGGAGGACATCAGCAAGTTGTTGCATCTAGTAAAACATGTGAGCTGTTTAGGGACATCTGTGAATTGTATCTTCAGAAAACAACCTGTATCACAATCTCCTCCTCTAAACTGCACTGATGTTTTGTACTGAAATGAAAAAAATAAATAAATAAATAAACTGTGTTTCCAAGAAACTTGTCCAGTGCCACAATGAGTAAACCAAAGCAGTGAGGAGTCAGTAATAAGAATGACATTTATCACCACTTACAATATAACCAAAGAATAGCTACCTGTACTAAATTTAGATGCCTGGTCATTGTTATAAAAAAAAAACTTATCTGTTCCTTTATTCATGTTTATAATTTACATGTCTTAAGAAATGACCAGCGTATATGAGTACTGAGAAAAAAGGGTAAAATGAGGGTGCAGCCAAATATGTGGTGGGGCACTTAAATGGAAAAGTTAGGTGCACTAGTGCAATCAATGTCAACATATATAGAAATATTTCCAGAATACTTAATCCAAAAATTCTTGTTATTTTATTGTCATCATTTAATTCTGTGTTAAACTCTGTGTCATTTACAGGAGGTTCTTCAGAGAGATGCCCGGCAACGCCCTGGATAAGAAATCCAACTACGAACTACTAGAGTAATATTGATATTATGTGGCCCAGACTGTAGATGTGTTGCATCTAATTTAATGCATTTTCACAAATTGTGTGAAGGCAAATTTTCAATAAATGTGGTGATGTTGTTTTTCTTTTTAGGAAAGATGTTGGTTTGAGAAGGTTCTTCCCTAAAAGCCTGCTGGACTCCCTGAAGGTACGATTAAATCACCATAAACTTTTAAAACCATTCAGTGGTTTTTATGTCAGAAACAGGAATTAATATCCTGCTCCTGCTCGGTGTGTCGGCTCTCTTGTAGCTGACAGGGTGTTTGCCCAACAGACTCGATGACTGAAAGGATATCTGGCTACATGTCTGATTATCTGATGGTGTGGAATTAAGTTAAACCTCCTGTTGTCACTCGCAGAGTTTTTCTTGGTTCTGAACCAACTTTCTCCTAGAAACTCTTGGAAATGTGTTTTGTTTTTTTTTCCCCTCCGCTGTGTCTGTCAGGCAAAGGCTCTTCGTAAGCAGATCCAGCAGACCTTTAAGCAGTTTGCTAACCTCAACGATGAGCAGAGCATCCACAAGTTCTTTGAGATCCTCTCTCCCATCTACCGCTTCGACAAGGAGTGCTTCAAATGTGCTTTAGGGGTGAGTCCACTTTTAGTTCAATGGGGCTATTGTTGCATGTAAAGATTGATATTTTTCCACACCTGAAAATTCAGTCAGACATGGAGGGGTGGGAGGTTGGAGCCTGCCATCAATGCACAGGGTAGAAACAATCGCATGCTCCGAAGCCTAAAGACACCTCAATACGAGGAAGTCAACACCACGTTCCCACCCCAAGGGCTTTAGTGCAACTACGTCCAGACAGTAAAATCTAATACAAGTGTTACGGGAAGATTCAGAAAGATTCATGCACAGATAAAGTATGCAATTCGCTTTTTTGTTCTGCCGACATCAGAGCCAGCAACAGGATAGTTTTAAGCAACCTCTATAAGTCAGATCCATCAAAAGACGGCTCTGAAACTGCCTCCAATACAGTTGGCAAATACCAGGAGGGAGCTTATGGTTTTACACGCATAAACCTTCATATCAGGGAATTCCGACCGACTGATGCATGACCGAAGCTCACATGGCGGGCCAAAATGGACACCAAATACACCTTTGCACTGGAAAATACGAAACCAGTGTCCAGCAGAACCTACAGGAATCATAACACCTCACGAACAGAACACCGAAAAGAAATTATGTTCCTGACTACACACCATTTTTAAAAAACGCACCACTTTCCATCATGAAGTGAGCATGCTGATGGCGCTGAAGCACTCTGAATGGAGTCAAATTCAGCCTCTCACGTGCCAGGCCCGGAGTGCTAACCACTCAGTGTGATGGTGAAAAATCTGTCCGAGCGTGACACTAAGTCTCCAGATCAGACCTGCCTGCTGGGTCAGTTTGGGGCTGTTAAAATCAAAGTTAGCCATTGCTAAGTTATCTACTAGTGAGAACAGGTCATATTTTTGCCTTTTTAATAAAACATATACTGTGAGGGGATGTATTTTAATGCTGTATTTTCCTCCCTGTCTTTCTCTGTCCCCCTACAGTCTAGTTGGGTAATATCAGTGGAGTTAGCTATCGGACCAGAGGAAGGAATCAGCTACCTCACAGACAAAGGCTCGACAGTGAGTATCATTTCATCTCACAAGGTCAAGGCATCCAGTCTGGTAATAATTCAGACCTGAAGAAGGCTTTAATACTGCTATTTGCTGCAGAGTTTAACTGGAAGTAATAATCCCACCATACTGCCCTCTGCTGGATGTTTTTGTCTCCATCTCGGAAAGATTCTTTAAAAGCCAGAAAGGTCACTTATTTTTTAGTTACAAGACTACAGCTAGAAAAAAGCCAGATGTTTGATCACCAGGTCACAGTATAATGAGGAAACAGTTGCACGAAGCATCAAAAACATCAGTGTGCACCTGTAGCTCCACTGCTCAGACTGACTTTCTCAGCCTGTTAAATGTCAGTTTCATTAATGCATCTTTGCATTAAATAACTCAGAGCTTCACATTCTCCATCAACACTTTGAAATTGGCTTTTCATGGCATTGATGGCTTTGTTGTTTGATGGCTCTTGTTAGATTTACTGACTGACTGTCACATTGTGGAAATATAGGATTCTTTGAAGAGATTGTCTGAATAAAGGGCACCAACATACAATAGGTCCATAATAATAATAATATTATAAATATTCATAGTATTAGTTACAACACGTCTAAAGTAATGTAATCCAAATCAGTGTCACAAGTACAGACTCGAAAACTGACATAAGTCAAAACCTTTTTATTTCATATTCAATAAATATCATATTTTTTTAATGACTTTTGCAATATGTGTGCTTGTATATCTGCTATTTGTGTGGTAACATCCACTTGAAACTTTTTGCAAACTATGGTCTTGATGTTAACAGGAGTGTCATAACAGGGTAACTTTTCCTTCTCAGGCACAAACACATGTCAGTTTTCCATTTGTTTTAAATTTAGTAAAACTTTTTTTTTTTAAGAGAAACAACCATGCTTAACAAATTGAGTGAAAAGTTGGTTTTAGATTAAATTTGGCATCTCCTTCTTTTGCTTTAATGGCAGAACCACTTCAGCTTCTTGGACTCTACCAGTTAGTTCAGTCACCGATGTTGTGCCAGCACAGTTTGACCACCCTCTGAAGGAGCTTCTTGTTATTGAGATCCGATCAGGTGACAGACAGAGAAGTGGTTTAAAGGATGCTAATCGTCCTCTGAGGCTACACGTTTTCCATTTCAATCTTTCAGTGAGCAAAGCCTGACATATTGATCTTCTGATGCTGTGGTTTCTTTTTGTCTGCTCTGCTTTGGACCCAACTGATCCGGTTTCCACAAAGTGTTTTAGAGCATCACGAACTCCTGAGAAGCCTTCAGTCTAGCCATAAGCTGATGCCGGGAAAGATCCTCCTTACTCTCGATAACGAGTTGACTTCTGACATTTTCACACAGATGCTGTTTTTTTTCACTAAACAAGGTCATGCTGCATAATAGATGAAATTATTATGAATGCTGAATAATTAGAATTTTAAATTTGATCTAGAAATGGTGCAGAATCTGTAATATTTCTTCAGAAACTCTTGATGTTTTTCCAGCTTTTTATTTCCAGATTTACATGAAAGTTTGACAGACTTGCTCTTAGATATTTGGACTGTATG